GCTCAGTGGACCTCATCTGGTCGAATAAAACAAGTAGCTTAAAACCACAGGTATTGTGGTTAATGCAAACATGATCTCTTGTAAAAAGGTGTCAGTTTTGTGTCAGATAAAAGGGTAAAAAACCTATTATTATGCTTCAAATCGCTTTAAACTATTGTCATTGTAGTGCGCATTTTATATGGCGCTGCACTTTGATGTTGTAGGAGAAAACTTTTATTAAATAGTCTATTTAATTAAGTAGAACGTGTTGTCTATATTTATTTAAAGTTGCGCATTTTGATGTGACGTCACATTTCTCACCCCCCCCCCCTCGTCACACATCGTCGCAAATGTCTGACCCCCCCCCCCACCCCTAGGTGCGTGACGTCATTTATGGACGGCCCCTAACCAGCGAGCGCGACCAAATTGCGTCATGCAAACAGAGCGTTACAAATGTTTGATTCGCTTGCAAGCTACTCGCTAATTAGAATACCTCACAAAATGGACAATAGGTTAAGATAATATAATTATAATTCAAATGTGTAATGTGCATTCCATCGTAGGATCCCAATGCGCAATGCATGGAAATCAGGAAACAAAAACAGAACCAGGGCACGGGAACAAACTCAAGAGGGAACGCCACTTTAAATCGACGCGTTTTCAAAGCAGACTTCAATAAAATATTAATGGTCATTTTTCATACATTTACTTCTCAGAGTCATGTTGGGTCAGGACAATGGGCGTAGCTCGGTTGAATACAAAATGCAGAAGCCAACGCAGAAGTTGGGGACCAACTTGCCCCAATCGCCGTCTGGAGACATCGCGGGCGGCCCGTGGAGACCAAACAGGCGCGTGGCGTCTCTCTCGGCACGCGCACCGACAGAGTATCAACAGCGGGGTTCCCTCCCCACCCATTGTCCCTGTGCGCGCGGTGTTTGTGTTGAGCCACGAGGACGCCGCGTGCGTTTGACTCGCGGTGACCTGCGATGAGCGGTGGCGCAGTGGTGAGCGCACCGCGCTACGAACCTGGCGACCAGAGTTTGATTCCTCGCTCACGGCTACCAGTACCAGTCATAGCGATTATCTGAACTGGTCCTGGGCCTCCCCTTGGTCAAATCAGCCTCACAGGAGTACAATGTGCGTGGTATAGTGTGTAAAAAATAACAGCAATGGGGAGACAACGGCGGCGGGATGTGGTGCTGGTCACCCACCCCCTTGTGTGCCGTCCCGGCGTTTGTAGGTGATCGCTTGCAGCACTTTTCCCAATAGCCTATGTAGCCTCAACAGGGGACCTTTGTCTTTGTGTCCTGTAATTCTCGAGTGTGTGGGGGTCGCTAGCCCCCGAAATCCCTCCCTCGATAATGCTAACGGCCGGGCTAGCATCATCAATCGCCCCCCCGCTGCTAAGCGAACCGCTGCTGAGTTCCTCACCCATGGTGTGGGAGCCGTCGCCCGAGGATTCCCCTCCACCGCGGGTCCGCGTAGCAGGCATGGTTAATTACGTACGCGCACACCCACACACACAGCTCTGCACGGCACTCACTCTTGCGCCGCTCTGCGCCGCGCTGGCCGCTCACGTTACGATCGCGCACCTGGGGTACGCCGATTTCGCACGACGAGAACTTACGCATACACCGTACCACACGCGTTCACACTTATAACACGTAACGAGCACACGCAAGCGGGGCACACGCCGACACAACGACTCAAGTTGCCGCCGCCGTGCGCGCGAGATAAACCGTACAACAATGCGCAGCCGATTACGCGCTCGAGCACACGCAAGCTCGCACAAAGCCAACAGCTTCACTGCGCACCGCGGTTTCGCACACGCGAGTGGGGTGCACGCCGACACGACGACCCGTCCCCTCCCGCACTCGCGCGTGCACGTCAACACAAGTATCGTGCAAGGACGACTCTCCTCTCACACGGCTGCGCAGGCACGCCAACACACAAAAGTGCTCTCCCCGGGCGTTAACACACACACCTCCGTACCCGCACCATCGTACAGAGACCACGGCCTTTACGCATACAACGACCCCACACCCGCGAATGCAGTGCACGCCAATACCACGTTCAAAAACACCCAACAACACGGTTTTGTTACTACGCTCGAGACTTTATTAACCCTTGTTAACCCACCGAGCCACCCGTGTGTGTGTACGAGCCAGCAAGGCGCTTCCAACCCACTCTCTAGTGGCGTGCAGCCCTATTCTATGCTGCGCTCTCTGCTACACCGTTTTCCTACTCGTCCTTACCCCGAACTAACCTTCTCCTACGGATCCCACTCTCCGCTCTGAGGTGTTGTAAGGCGCGCAATACGATACCGTCTGTAGTCCTAGGTGACCTTGCGGCGCTCAGGTCGTCCTGCAGACGATCCTGCGGCTCGCCCGATGATTCGCTCGTCGTTGACCCCGTGTCACTACTCCAGAAGAAGAGAGTCCCCTACTGCCCCTGCGTTTTCTTTTAAACTATCCACATCAAAGCTAGGCGCCCCCGTCCCGACCGCCTTGGTCTCTCGACCAATCCTGAGCCTAGGATCTCCCGCCCTTTTGCGATCCCGCCGGCCTTTGACCTTTTTGCTAAGCAGCAGCCCCGGGTCCTGATCCCAGCTATCTGCCTGGCTGACCCGTGTTTGTGTTTGTATGCGTTTCTAACTGCGGGGCTCTCTGAGCTCGCCGTGGTCGTGCGATCTCAAATCCGCCCACGGCGCCGCAGTGTTACTTAGCCTGGGAAGGGTCCTGTCCAATTCCCTGGCCCTGAGAAACCGTGGGGTAACCCCCCGAGGGGGCCCTCGGGTGAAAACTCAGGGTAGGTGACCCGACCACAAGGCCCTACGTGGGTGCGGGTGCGTGCTTATGTGGGGGGGTGATGGGGGGCAGTGCAGTGGTGGAAGCCGGGCGGCTCCCTGGCTCGGCAGAGCGGCCCCGTCGTTGTGGCACCACAAGTGTCTTCTGTTCGCGTGCTCGTGCTCACCGTGATCACCTTGTTCACCGTGGACACCGTGTTCATCGTGGTCACCGCGTTCATCGTGGTCACCGCGTTCACCGTGTTCACCATGATCACCGTGTTCACGTGAGTGTCTGCGCGAGGTTCGTGTCCACGGCGTCACGACGTCTGCCTGGGCTGCGCTGCCCACTTTCTTCCCTGTGGCTAAATCGAGAGAAGCATTTGCCCCGTTTGTAGCGAGTGATGAGGGTTATTTTTCATCATCTCATTGTTTCTATTCTAGCATCACTCGTTTCTAAAACAGCCGGATTCAGATAGTGCGGGGCCTGTAGCATCTTACCTATAAAAGTAATTGTTAAATAAATATACTAATTACTAATTGCTCCTGAATTCATATGAAAGCGAACTCAATATTATGAAACATTTTACAGTCTCACCAATCTGTTTTAATAGAAATCATACTTTACTGTTACAAATTGCATTTACAATCAACAATTTTCGACAGATCTCCATCTCCATAAAAGGCAAAGTTGTGATTATGTGTCTGTTCAAAATGTTTAGCGTACTTCCCGACATGCAACAAACTGGAAATTTGCCATGTGGGTACTTTCCAGACTGTACACCATGCAACAATTATAAAATACACTTTAGTTTTTTTTTGGGGGGGGGGGGGAGCTCAATAATGGGTAGATTTTTTTGCACGGAAAGTGAGCTGTGACGTCGCATCTGTCATGTGACCCGCGCGTGTGGAAGCGTCACGCATTGTAGTGTAGTGGTTAGCGCGCTGCGCTACGAACCCGGCGACCCGAGTTCGATTCCCGCTCACGACCACCACCGGTGACGATTATTTTAACCTGGGCCTCCCCTAGGTCGACTCAGCCTCAAACGAAGTAACTGCTGTGGTGTGTGAACATCGCCACTGGGGAGACAAAGGCGGCTGGGCGTGGTGAATCCAAGTCCCGGGCGAAGCCAGGTAGTACAGCTAGTTCTATATAAAACTTTCGTGACTGCAGGAATTCAAATTCTTTAGTTCTTTCGGTAAAGTCGCGTGACTTTACCGAAAGAACAAAAGAGTATGAGATCCTCTCTATTTGCTTTAATTGTTGTCAATTGCTCGAGTTGACTGCGATTAACCACATCAACGCTGTGGTTGTCATTGTAACTATGGAAATATCCCAAACTACCTAAATGTTGGTGTACTGCAGTACGTATCTGATTCATAATGAGTTGCTTTTGGGTTAGATCGAGCAGGAGGTGTGAAGCCACGTTTTAACGATAACCCTTCACCACCCGACAGAGCCAATACAATCAAGTTGTTACGTAGACAAATATGCAAATCAGCTTAGTTTACGCGATTTAACCCACAAAAACCCTCTATTATTGATGATATTGCTCGCGAAAGCCTACGTGTGGTTTTCCCACCTGATGATGATTGCTTGTGTTGCAATCGAAACGTCGTGATTTGTTTTATTGTATTTCTACCTACGTGACTTTACCGAAAGAACCAACGAGTATGGATTCCTGCAGTCACGAAAGCTTCAAATCAAATTCTAGATTTGAAGCTTGCGTGACTGCAAGGATTCATACTCTTAGTTCTTTCGGTAAAGTCACGTAGGTAAAAACTTAAATTAAAATAAAAAAAATAAAACAATAAAATCACGACGTTTTGCTGCAGCAAATCTGGCTGTGACGGTCCCACCTGATGACGGAGACTTGTGTTGCCTCCGAAACGTCGTGATTTTATTGTTTTATTTTTTTTATTTTAATTTCATTTTTACCTACTTGACTTTACCGAAAGAACTAAGAGTATACTTCAAATCAAAAACAAAACCGGAATGTTGAAGGGCAAGCATTATTTTTGACAATTTATATTCGACGTTTCGCTGAGTATTACCTCCAGCGTCATCACCACCACCACCAACCACCACCACCACCACCAACAACCACCACCACCACCAACCACCACCACCAACCACCAACAACCACCACCACCACCAACCACCACCACCAACCACCACCACCATGACCAGGTGACGCTTCTGGCTGAGGCTGGTCCCGGTTGTGCGACCGCGGCCTGCGCTCCTTCCCACCACGTGGGGCGGACTCTCTGAACGTTCTGAGCAGCAGCTGTAGGTCACGTGAAACGAGCCCAGCTCAGCGACAACGGAAGACACGAGGTGGACAGGGAGCAGGCGCGCTCGCAAGGCCGCCACGGGTGGGTGACGTTCACTGACTGCGTGGCGGTGGTGGTGGTGGTTGGTGGTGGTTAGTGGTGGTGGTGGTTGGTGGCGGTGGTGGTGGTTGGTGGTGGTGGTGGTTGTTGGTGGTGGTTGGTGGTGGTTGGTGGTTGGTGGTAGTTGTTGGTGGTGGTGGTGGTTGGTGGTGGTGGTGGTTGGTGGTTGGTGGTGGTGGTGGTTGGTGGTGGTGGTGGTTGGTGGTGGTGGTGGTTGTTGGTGGTGGTGGTGGTGGTTGGTGGTGGTGGTGGTTGGTGGTGGTGGTGGTTGGTGGTTGGTGGTGGTGGTGGTGATGGTGGTGATGGTGGTGGTGATTGTTGGTGGTGGTTGGTGGTGGTGGTGGTGGTTGGTGGTGGTGGTGGTGATGGTGGTGGTGGTTGTTGGTGGTGGTTGTTGGTGGTGGTTGGTGGTGGTGGTGGTTGTTGGTGGTGGTGGTTGGTGGTGGTGGTGATGTTGGTGGTGGTTGGTGGTGGTGGTGGTTGGTGGTGGTTGTGGTTGTTGGTGGTGTCCACAGGCCCTCGTCGTGCAACGGCGCTCGTCACTGGAAGTGCCCCATTCCGTGGGAGCTCCTCTCCTGAACGCGAGGTCGCGTGCTGTCAGCTGCAACAGCAGCAGCAGCAATCTTAGCCAACGGTCCAGACCAATGATAATACCAACACAGGCGCCATTCGCCACGAAGTGACGGTGACGTCACCACGGCGCCTGTGCCAGGCAAGGTGCACTTTGAGGCCACGTGAAGTGTCGAAGGCTCGCTGGCAGGAGGTCATGGGACAGACCCAGCAGGTGCCACGGGCTGACTAAGATGACCGGCAGATGCACCGACTGTGCCCCCTACTGTTGTCCAGACCACGAGGTCAATCACCCACTACCTCCCGTCAAAAGATACTTTTAGAATACTTTTAGGACTCGTTCGGTGCTTACTTAAAGGATTAACCCATAAATAAAGGCGACTGCATTGGACAATACTCATGTTTACCACTATAACAGTGGGTGTGCTTCAAAGTGACATCACGAACCTTGCAGGAGGGCTGCCGACACGCAGTAGCGCCTTCCGTGTCCGTCCCACGGGAGGCGGCGAGCGGCGCCGTCTCGGACCGCCCTGCTCGAGGCTGACCCTGAGTCACTTTGCCATGGCATGGGACAATCTTTGCCATAGATCAACCTCTTCTGACCTCCCACAGTCGTACTCATTTTATACAAATAATAATATTAATAATACCCTCACTGCTGTTAAAGTTCAGGTGCACGACTTTGCTCTTTGCCGATGAACACTTCCCTATGAAACGTCTTAATTCAAAACTCACCGTACTATCACCTCCTCTTCCTCTGCCCTCTAAACCTCTACCCTTCACACCCTCCCTTCTGGAAAACAAACATCAATCTGACGTCAAACTCCCAACTCTTTTCCAAGGCCTCTCCACGCACACATCCCATATTCGTAAGAACATTCATTATCCATTCACGATTGTCCATTCATCAGAGCCCCTCCCTCCAATCACTGTGTCCTGCACTCTTTCTACAGCCCCCTCTTCTTTCGCATAACCCTATCTCAACCATCTCCTCGTCTCTCCACACCACTCGGACCACCACGACCTCTCTCCACACCCAGCATGAGTCCACTCGGCCGCTCTCATCACGACCCTTTCCATCGGTGCCGTTGCCATATTCATTCTCTCCTCCTCTTTGCTCTCTTCCTGACAGTCCTGACGTCACCGCTCTTTCTGACTTTGACCTGCAACTTTCCGACACCACAGTCAACAAAAGAGGGCTTGGTCTCTGCATGTTACAGGGACCACGTTCGCGGTGTCATACAGGAGCAACTTCAATTCCTCAGTCTGTAGTTCCTTGTCTATCTCTTGTATATTCTACACAAGGAATGAACGACTAAGGGTTCTAGAGACATATCCAGACTCAGAAGGATGTTTGGCTTCAGCTCTAAGGCATGGTGGTAATGGTGCAGATGTGCTGTTTGTGTGAGCTGTGCAGTTTGCGATGCGGCTCGGTCAAGTTGCTGCATCTTCTATGCGGTTTTTAAATAGTCTACACTTGATGATACTTTTGCACGAATTCCTAAATGAGGACGATGCAACGAAGGCAACCACGGGGTCGAAGAGGCTGTTGAGAAGGCTGAGGCCCAGTGCAATGTCTCGCAGCAGAGCCAAGCTCTCCCAGGACATGCTGTTGTATCTACTCTCGATGAAGCCGATGATATGGGACACGTTGTAGGCGGTGAAACACACGAAGAAGTTGCTGATAACCAAGACGGTCAGCTTGATGGCGCGGATCTTCTTGTCGCGTTTCATCACCTCGACCCGATCGTCGACTTTGAACAGAGATTTGATGACATTGATGTACGAGAAGAGCATGGCGACTAGCGAGGGGAGGTAGAGGGAGAAAAACAAGTAGAGTCTGTAAACGGTCAAGAAGTCCATGTCACTGGTTGAGAACTTCTCGTAGCACTTGATGGTGGGGGGAGCACTGCCGTTGGTGGCGTTGACCATCACGGTGAACGTGACGGAGTTGATGGGCGCGATCTCGGCGATGGTGATGACCCAGATGACGGCGCACACGATCCACGCCGTCCTGGGCTCCCGCCAGCGCGACATCTCCAGCGGGTGCACCACGGCCTTGTAGCGGTCGATGCTGATCGCCGCCAGGATCATGATGCTGGCGTAGATGTTGGTGAAGAATATCAGGTTGCTGACGCGACAGAGAAATATGGGGAAAATCCAGTTGTTTCCGTTGAAGGTGTAGCCGATTTTCATCGGAACGACGGCCAAGTAAAATAGGTCTGCGATGGCGAGGTTCAGCGCGTAAATGGACATGGAGTTTTTTTTGGTGCGTCCCAGTACCCAGCACACCATGACGTTGAGGGGAAGCCCTGCGAGAAACGCCACTAAATAAATTGGGAATACAAAGCAATATTTCACCAACTCCTGAGGATTCATTTTTCAAAAGCCAAAGGAAACCTGAAAAAAAGGAAATTAAGCAAATTTTACGATAAAAAAAACGAATTAAAATAAAACAATTTGTGTATACAACAGTGCACGTACATAAGTGAGACCATGTGATCCATGACTTCACTCCCTCCACAATTTCAAGATCCCACTCACTGCTTTCAAGATCTTCCATAATCACCCCTGCCTCCCTCTCTTCTCTCATCTCACTCTACTCTCCTTCACGCATTCTCCTACTTGTCCCTTCTCATCTCACTCTACCCCCCCTCCCACCATCTCCTCCCTATCCCATCATCTCATCTCACTCTACTCCCCTCCACACATTCTCCTACCTCTCCCCTCTCATCTCACTCGACTCCCCTCCATGCACTCTCCTACCTCTCCCCTCGCTCTACTCCCCTCCACACACTCTGTCTTCCAGCAACCAAGACTTAATTTCTTTCTTCCAGGCAGCCTTCGCTCAGTGGAAGGTCGCTCATTCTCCTTTTCTGCGCCCACGGCCTTGAACTCATTTCCTTACTGACCGTGTGCGGAACGCTCTGTGGGTGCTGATGGAGCCACACGTTCCGCAGTCGATCCACACACACGAGTTCTGCTGGTAGCGACGTCCCTTCCCACGTGGGATATTATTCTAAACAAATTAAATTATGTTTAATGAACATTGGCATTTACACGTTTAATTAATCAATTAGTATTTTTTATTGGACATTTATGTTGGCAAAGAAACTGACTGAAAGGTATTCATCAGAGTACCACGTACTTTCGAGACTGTCCGACTCGTTTACAGAGCGAACTGCAGATCTGCCAACCCACTGATTATAGTAAAATCTCGCAGATCGTTCTATGCTCTGCGCACCAACGAGTCGTCTCGCGACCTCCGTGCTCTGTGGCGCGTTGTGCGGGGTCTGCTGCACACCAACCACCCATCAACTAGTCAACGAGGTCTGTGCACAGTATATGCGATGTACTTCGCCAACAATATTCTTAGGTTTTTTCGTTAAAGTCACGTAGGTAAAAAAAAAATTAATAAAAGTAAAATAAAATAAAAATCACGACGTTTCGAAGGCAACACAAGCTTCCGTCTTCAGGTGGAACCGTCACAGCCACGACAGCTGTATCAAGTAAATGATAGAGCTGTACGGCACACAGTGTGCCGTACTTGGCCCTTCCCCTCTTCAACCATTATATATACGGAGTGGTAGCTCTTGTAATCTCTCATTTACTTGATACAGCTGTCGTGGCTGTGACGGTTCCACCTGAAGACGGAAGCTTGTGTTGCCTCCGAAACGTCGTGATTTTTATTTTATTTAACTTTTATTAATTTTTATTTTTTTTACCTACGTGACTTTACCGAAAAAACCTAAGAATATGAATCCTTGCAGTCACGAAAGCTTCAAATCTAGAATCTTCGCCAACAAAATAGTGACGATCAAGACGTTTCTAACATGAAGGCAACGCATTCTCCTGGTCTGCCATCTGTGTTGGATCAACGTGGGAACAATGCAAAACTCGAGACCCATCGGTGGTAGAGGTGTCCATGTTCATTGCACCGCTGCCGAATAAGACATCGCCACTTGACTACATCCACAAGTCGATTCTCAAATCATGCTTGGACGTTTCTTGTGACGCAGATTGTCCACCTGGCATGTATTTCATTCAGTGAGGGCCGTTTCCCAGACCGGTTCAAAATGGCGCGGGTTACAGCGCTCCTAAAAAAAGTTTGCTTGAGCCATAGTGACCCCACAACTATCCCCTGATCTCAGAATTGAGTACCATTTTAAATGTCATAATCTTCAAACATTTCGGTTACAAATACCATCCTGAGCTCCTGGAAGAATCACGTGGCCTCCTCGTTCACCCTGTGGCATAACTCCCTACTCGCCCTAGCAGCCTTAGAACATCTGCGTCGTAAACTGAGGAATAGGGAAGGGGAATCCACCGAGATCTGAGGGGCCCTCGTGAGAAGTGCCGCGTCCAGGCACTTCAAACCAACCCGCGTGGTACAGCATCAGCCCAATGCCAATGTGCATGTTGTAACATTTCTCTAAACATTCAAACCCTGACTAACACGTAGAGTCAGCCTGCTCATTGTCAGTAGACAATTCTAGCTCCAATTATTAACGCTGATTGCCAAATATTTTATTTTATTATGCGGACATTGCTGCTGCTTGCTGCTGCGATGATAAATTTCCTGGCGTGTTTTTGTGCAGGAATAAAATGTCCCACCGAAATGGAGCTGTTTTGGGTCTTTCTGCTGTGAAAACAGAGCAGGCGACTCGGAGCGCGGCATTTATCACCACCACCACCGCCTCCACCTCGCGGACACCCACCGCTTGTCATCGCTGCCATTTTGCCGGCAGCGATGACTGCGTTAATACAACAGAGCGGGAGACCCTGCCAGGTGAACAACCTGCACACAGCACACACCGTGGGACGCACCACAGAGTGGATAACACGTGGTGTATGAACGAGAGTGTGGGACACACCACAGGGTGGGACATACCACAGGGTGGGACATACGTGGTGTATGAACGACAGTGTGGGACACACCACAGGGTGGGACACACCACAGGGTGGGACGCACCACAGTGTGGGACATACGTGGTGTATGAACGACAGTGTGGGACACACCACAGGGTGGGACACACCACAGGGTGGGACACACCACAGGGTGGGACGCACCACAGGGTGGGACGCACCACAGGGTGGGACACACCACAGTGTGGGACACACCACAGGGTGGGACGCACCACAGGGTGGGACGCACCACAGGGTGGGACGCACCACAGTGTGGGACACACCACAGTGTGGGACACACCACAGTGTGGGACACACCACAGTGTGGGACGCACCACAGTGTGGGACACACCACAGGGTGGGACGCACCACAGAGTGGGACACACCACAGTGTGGGACACACCACAGGGTGGGACACACCACAGGGTGGGACGCACCACAGGGTGGGACGCACCACAGGGTGGGACACACCACAGTGTGGGACACACCACAGGGTGGGACGCACCACAGGGTGGGACGCACCACAGGGTGGGACGCACCACAGTGTGGGACACACCACAGTGTGGGACACACCACAGTGTGGGACACACCACAGTGTGGGACGCACCACAGTGTGGGACACACCACAGGGTGGGACGCACCACAGAGTGGGACACACCACAGTGTGGGACACACCACAGGGTGGGACACACCACAGTGTGGGACGCACCACAGTGTGGGACACACCACAGGGTGGGACGCACCACAGAGTGGGACATACGTGGTGTATGAACGACAGTGTGTGACACGCAGGGTGTGTGACCCACAATGTACACACCACACAGTGAGGTATAGATCACAGAGTACAGACCACCGTATGATGTTGTATAGAAGGCGGTGTGTGTGTATATCACTGTGTTGTTGTTTATTCATTTCCCTGCGCCCTTCCATTAATCATCATGTCGAGGCTGCCCCTTCGTGAGCTGCAGATCTGCCCTCGCAGTGCCACGGTCGTTGCCTGCTGCTGCTGCCTGGAAGTCGGCGTCATCAGCAGACTGGCTGAAGAAGCGAGGAGCACGTGTGGCTCGCACACCCAGAGCGGCTTCTCCTCACTGAGATGCGCTCCCGTGCGAGTCCGAGAGCCGTCGCATGCTCACGCCAGCTCACATAGTTCACCCCAACTCGGTGTTAGTCACTTTTAAATTACCGCACATTTATTAGAATTTTTAATTGCAATCCTAACCATGTTTTTTCATGCAAGTATCGAAATAACTTTATACGTAGACTTTCACGAACAATATTATGATTCCTAATTCGTATTTTTTGGGTTAGATCATCGTGTAGGTATAATGTAAATATTCAACTCTACCCTCCGCCAATTGTAACAAAGAAAATCCTTTGGCTTTTCAACATTTCTCCGGTTTGCTGACAAACCAAATCAAGTGGCACATTTACCCACGCGACAACTTGATTTCACTTACTATGTCGGGTGGTGGAGCGTGCAGCTAAAATTTGGCATTACAACTCCACGACCTAGTCCAAAAGAAAGGAAATATGTATTCAATAAAACAGATGTGCACTGTAAAAAAAAAATACTTTATCAGTAACGCTGGTGCGCACTTAATCAGGTTTCACATTTTGACTTAAAACTTTCGTGATTGCTTCTTTCGGCAAAGTCACGTAGATAGAAAAATAATTTAAAAAATAAGTGAATAAAAAATAAGTTTGGTTAGTGTAAGAACCAGGCTACAGTCTACATTATAGACTGACAGTACGCTCACCGAGGTTAAGAACCAGGCTAGAGTCTATATTATAGACTGCCAGTACACTCACCAAACTTAATAACCAGGCTACAGTCCACATTAGTGTTTATTTTTTTTATTCACCTTTTATATTTGTATTGTTTTATCTACGTGACTTGACCGAAATAACCCAAGAATACAGGTTTCACATATCACGCTTGTTTCAGAGATATTTGTAAAATAAACGCCAACATTGTAATCTTGATTTGAAGCTTTCGTGACTGCAGGAATCCATACTCTTTGGTTCTTTCGGTAAAGTCACGTAGGTAGAAAATAAAATAAATCACGACGTTTCGATCGCAACACAAGCGGTCATCCTCAGGCGGAAAAAATATAATCCAGCAGTGGAACTTCTGATCCAACATTGTAGTGGAGCACTGAGAAAACAAAACCCCGTTGCCTCGGCTGGACACCCAAACGGGAAGTAAATAGCTGAGGGATAAATATCGCCTGGCCATCCACGGGATGAAAATAATCAGCTGCGTGTTTACATTCATATCAGCTTATAATAAAGGCATGTTAGAGGGCCGCAACTGGGCACCTGCTCACTGCATTGTGTTTGCAGTAGGAAATAATGAAGTGTAAACACTTACCCTTGACTTCATTTACCAATGAGTCCTGCAAACTTCGTTCTCTCCGTGTGTGTGGAATCGCAGTGGGTGGCCCTGTGCGAGTTCCTCTCTCAAACCCTCGCTCTACTTATACCGACGGGGGAGGAACCTTCAACTGCTGTGGCCCCGAAGTGTTTGAACTGCACTAATTGCTGAACTTTGGCGGTAGCAGCTTAAAGGTTGACGGAGCCATTACGCAGACGGTACGTACGCGTGCGCCTGTGTGTCACAGTATGTCCGCACGCAGAGTTCAGCCATTGCACCTGTCCACAGTGTTCTGCCCCTCGAATAAATACATACAAATCATCATCCATTCTTGTCCGATGCTGACCGATGGAAATTCTTTGCCACAGCATACTCCGTCAGACGGCAATAAAAATGGTCGATCCTGGAAGCCAAGTTAAGATGTACTTGTCTGTGTGTGACTTAGATCAAGTTTGTACAATATTATACAATCATGTACAATCATCCAATCAGCTGTAATCACACGTGACACGCTGGAGAGGGAGCAGTCACGCGAGTGATCACTCAATTGAGATGCCCCCCACACCTGCGGGATGGTCACGTGGGGGGCTCCCATGGCCGCCCTGATGTTTGCGTCGTCTCCTTGCGCTCTCGCGTCGTCTCCTCGTGTGTCGCAGACTTCCCACTCCCTACCAACGCGTGCAGTGGCTGCGACACAGCTCACCAGCGGCGCTATGCCATCCACGCGACACACCGCCACGTCAGTGACACCGTGACCTCCGTGCGTAAAGGTCACCACCAGTGCCTCTAACGCCACGAGCTGCCCGGCCACGGCCGGGACGGCTGGCTCCGTGTGGCATCACGCATCGGAGCACTGCAAGGGCACGATCGTTTAAAACGGTTGTGGTCTTCGGCTAAGGATTTTACCGAACACCTCAACACACCAGCACCTTGCACGTGGCATTTCCAGAATTTCTTATGAAGACTTATATTTGCATGTACAACCTGACTATTTAAATAAGTGTTTTGTTATTTCGACTTCAGTTTAGCAAGATATTTCCTTCCGATGCCTCATTCTGCCATGCAAGTGTTCTGTGTGAGGGTTACACGCTCTCTCCGATCCACGCATTCACGTCAACTCGCCGAGCTTTTAGATGATCCATTGTCCTCATTCCCGTTGTTGTCATTTTACATCATTACCCAAAAACAGGAATGTATTTTCCCGACATTTCATCCTGCGCTGTGCAAACGGAGCACAGGGACGTGGCATTATTCATGTGTACGGTGGCCTCCCGCACTAGAATGATTCCCTGCACTGGGTTGACAGCCATGTGTTTGTTGTGCCATGATATATCGCGATCTAAATGACCGCTCAGAAATAATAACGCGTGCGACAGACAATGCGTGCGAGTCGTTTCGCAGAGACAACAGCAGCAGCTGATCGCGGCTTTGGCGTGGGTTTCTAAGACGCCGCCTCCGCCATACGCAAGGGAACATGAGATCTCTGAACTCGTCCAGTGCAGCTTTGTTTTGATGCTGCACGTAGGGTCCAATTTGATCGTGTTTAGCACGACCCAAAATGTAGGTTCTAAAATAACTGTGAACATTCGTACGAAGGAATACACGATGGGAACATGGCAGAGCCTCTCCAATATTTTGAGGGCCACTTTGTAATAAGTGTACGGAATTCATGCGCGAGACACTCGCATCCTCTGCAACACAGCCAGCACCGTGTATGTGGAATGATAAACTTGTCCGATGTCAATTCGTGGGAAACATATTAATGAGAAACATTCATCCACTGGCCATAACCTGATTGTCAGAGTATTTCCTTTCGTTAAACGAACCTGCTTCCCTATTTATCTATTTAAATGCAATTCGATAATTGTTTTTTTACCCTTCTATCTGGCAACAAAACTGACACCTTTTTACAAGGAGTCATGTTTGCATAGACCGCAATACCTGCAGTCATAATACAAACAAAAGAACATAACTCTGATAATGTGCACTGTCCTTGAAGTTGATTGGTCCACACCCGAGACAGCTTTCCTTAGAGCCTAGTCTCACATGGGTTGGACCAGATGACGCCAAAAGGCGCACAACTCAAAGACAACTCCTTGTAAAAAGGTGTCAGTTTTGTTGCCAGATAGAAGGGTAAAAAACCAATTATCATATTTTTACTGGCAAATGAGGTTCCCATAGTGTAAATGCAATTCATTCACTATTCTTGAATATGGCAACGTGTTCAGGAGCTATATGGCAATGCCGAGGTCTGCTGGCCACGATGAAGGCTTCAGGAAGAGAGTTCGTGTCTTTTTGCTTCTCCTATGAAGGGGCGTTCGCCCCAACGGTCACGCGTTATTTTCGCGTCACCTTACACACAAGTAACGCCGTCACCTGGGCGAAATCGACGTCATTAATGAATTCACCGTTGGGGCAAAGGGGCTTCACGTGGACAGGAGATGACCCCGGCTCACGCCTGGAGTTGGATGTCACCGGAACATTGCGTCCGCAGTCGCTTCCTCCTCACCCCTCCTCCTGCTCCTCGTGTGACCAACACTGCGATTGTTTACGTGGATGCATCGTCCGTTTATGTATATTCTCGACAATGACCCGAATGATTGTTTTGTGTTTTATACGATAAAACAGAATTGGTCAAATATCCCAGTGCAGGAAACGTCGTGCGTCAGTGCCGCGACTCGGCACGAACCAGACTCGGGTTGTTCGGGTGACCCGGGCGAGGGGGGGGGCCGTGACGCACGCAGCAGCACCGTGGGGGGACAGGCAGAAGCTGGACCGCACCACGTAGAGGGAAAGCACCTCCATGGACTCGATATGCAAATCAGTGTGGATATGGCATCCCTTGTCCACACATTTGTTTTTGTTATTTTACTCGGCGCTGCCGATGTATGTTGTAGAGCGGATGGCTGTGATTGTTCCAAGGGGGTGACCACGAGCCTGATGACTGCGCCACGGGTGGCGGAGTGAGTCGCTGCGATGAGGCCGCCTCCGTGTTTGTGAACTGGGCAGATTCGTTCTGTGCTGCGTGGAGTATTCTGGATGAGCGCAGGTGCAGAATGGAGTGTTTAATTTTCCATTTGTGCATCAAGAATCCGCAGTTGCCGTGGTTTGTGCGGATACGGTTTAATATTTGTGCCCAGGGATAGTCTTCAATGCACGCGTCACAATGATAGACCTTCTGATACATTTTACAAAAGGGAACATTCACCAAGTACACACATCTTTTAAAATTACATGTCAAGAAGCTCGACATTTGTTCTACAAACTGCAAGTCGGCCACTGCTTAGGGGTGGACCTTGGATGACAACAGCGGTTGGCAGTGCGCGCTCTGTTGACGAGGCCGCGGCGTTTGCTTTGGAGGGCACGGGGAGCCAGTAGCGCCGCGCACGTGGTGGCCGCATTGAGCGCAGTGGAACGAGAGCGCCTCGCTCACCCACAGCGCCCTCTCTTGACGGTGGCCACTGGCCCCGTGGCCCCGATCCAGGCCCCGTGCTCGTGGGCTCCGTGCGGCCCCCCCCGCCCCGGGGAGCCGGGGTTCACTCGGCAGCGATGCCGCGCTGTGGTCCGCATGGCGCCGTGCGAATGGTCACCGCTGCTGTTCACCCTTCGTCTCGGTGGAGGGGTGAAGGGACGCGTGGTGGCGGTGTCGGCGCTATGCGACACCACGGCATGGCCTCAGTTGCCACAGCAACCAAACGACAGGGGATAATTATAATACTATTGATGATTTGGTGCCGTGGATCCTCGTACCTTATGCGTGTCAACATTTTAAGTGTATTCATAATGAAGGTTTTTGGGTTAGATCGCGTTATTTATAAATGTGTCGCAACCCTCCACCACTCGACACGGCCAATCGGTAAAAAAAGGTGTCACGTTGACAAAAGACAAATAGTTCACGACTTCAGCCCACCGGTGTGTTGAAGAGTGAATCCACATTTACAATTTTTGAGTACTGTGACGTTTCCCTGGTATCCAGCATCATCGGGCAATTTGCCAGAATGGTGACGCCCTCCACCTGCTCCCAGTCTTAAATAGAGCAGCAGCAGCAGGGTGACGCCATCATTTAACCCAATCAGGTGCAGAGATCAGAGGCGGAGGGGGGCTATTGTAGCTATATAATAGACTAGTAATCAGCGAATTACTCTTTGGTTCTTTCGGTAGTCACGTATAAAGAAAATACATTAAATAGAATACGTTTCGATTGCAACACAAGCAACCGTCATCCAGTAGAACTATATTGGAGACAAAACACAGACACGGAGACAGACACACAAGCAGAGAAAGACAACACAGAGACACACAACATAGACACACAGAGACCCAATGCCTCTGTCGAGGCCTTAAATAGAGAGAAGGGGGGGGGGGGTCTGCTGGAGCAAACTCATTTCTCTCTCGCGAAAGCCTACGTGTTAACTGATTTTAAGTGTAGTTTAATCAGGAAAAGTCTACGTACGTTTTAAGTAGTTATCGGTATTTTGTACTTGTCTCTCACAATCTTGGAATTGCTCGTGTATCTGTGCCCCGAGTGGCTGGGTGCGGACATTCAAGGACGTCGCGGTAGCAAGACGTTAACCACCTCCTCGCCTTGTATACAGGAGGACGTGGGTTCCATCCAGACCCTTGACGACTGCTGTATATTTGGATTCTGCATGTCTCTCCCTCTCCCCGTGGTCGCGTGGATGTTCTCCATGCACACCAGTTTCCCCCTCCACATTTAGAATCAATGTGCGTTCGGAGTATTTGGCTGCTATACATTTCCACATAAGCCACTGCGCGTTGTGGCCAGGTAGCTTCTAAAAAAGAGTTGTAGAGCTCAGTGGGCCTGACCTGGATAAAAAACAATGCTTAGAGTTCATAAGAGGCGAGGCAAAGCACTCATTGCTGCTACCTTAGACACGTGCGCAATGGGCTCCGTGTATAAACCCAAAAATGATATCTAGTTCCACGACAGGGGACACGATCAGAGGAGTTCACAAGTCCCGGGCAACCTTTGCGTACTCAGCACTGCCGATTTAAATTAGCGCACGATAACGGTTGCGCATTTGCACACACCTAATATTATCAAGGTTGTCTACGTATGGTGCGAAATAAGTTCAACGTATTTACATTGGATAGCTTTCTGGAGAACATAACCCAATATGAGCCAAGCATGCTTTGAGATAACCAAGAGATTGCCCAACAGCTGTGAGATCATTGTTATTTTAGTCCACCGACGCCGTATGTACATATTTTATTGGTCCCATTTAGCCTTCCACTCATCTCTTGTATATACAGCCTCAGTAAAGTCTGCCGATTGGCTCCAGCAATGGGCAGGGCCTGCTGTTGCGCCACATTCTAGAGGGGCTTCCAGTGCAGAAAAGTGTCACCTCCTCCTCAACATAGTCCGCAGCGTACAACTGTGCAACGCCCCTTGAAACCACGACTTATCCAGACCACCATCTCAATGTTGAACTTCTTTCACACCGTACGTAGCCAACCGTGCTTAAAGGAGAAATGTCTGGCCATTGGCGTTTTTGCCACCAACTCTCGGAGCGCTGACAAATGTGGCCGCCCGAACCGGCAGCTGTGCCCACAACAGGGGCCTTCCTCGGGACTAAACGCACAACGCCGGCATAAAGGAGATGGAACATGAACTAAGGATTTCATATTTCACTTTACCATATTGTTAACTTGACTCAAAATCAGACTATCTTGACCACACTACAATTGAGGCCACTGCTATTTTATGTACATTTACTGTGAAAAGTCGGGGGGGGGAAAACATGGTAGAGTAGTATCATGATTCGGTTGAAGGCCCTCAACTCAGGAGAGGCCGAGAGCGGTGCTGTGCTGACCTTGCAGTTCAAATGCCCCTGCAGGTACATGCATCATCACAATAATTTTATTACGTTATTTAGCCATTATATTTCTCCGTGATTAAAGCTTTAGTCCTTGGGTGACTTTCTTCTGCTGCCTGTGATCAGTGTCAATTGCCAACTGTCTTGATAAATCCCCTCATGCACACAGCACCAGCCTCTCGTTCTCCACGCGAGATAGCCAATAGGTATCGGCATGCACAGGTCTCACCCAGGCTACCTTAGGAATGTACTTAATATGGAATTACACAAATGTTGAATTGCTCATTCAGCTCACTTGTGGTATTCCAAGCCACTGAATGGTGTTGGTCAGTAAGGACTTGAGAGATGGGACAACCGGTTTTCATCTAAAGTCGATGAAAAAGTTAATGTGCCATGTTAGAGATGGCTGGACGGATATAGTTGTATGCTAATGCCTGCGCACCACAGCACCAAGCCAGGAGAGCCGAATGGCTGGGTTTGAATCCCGGGCCTTGACCTGCAAGTGCGTCGGGCTGTGATAAGTGAAGCTACCAACGACTGAACATTTTTTCAGGATTTGGTTTGGCTTTTCATTCAGCGTTGCCCGTCTCAAGAGCGCTTCTGCTTCAGAGCGACACTCGACAAACCACGCGTCCGTCCGCACAGGTGCGTCCGTGCGGTCTCGAGCGAATGCGTGCATCATCGCCCGTGGGTGCCCCTCTCTCGGAGAGATCGGCGCCGTCGCCACGGCGAACGCCGGCAGGGAACCCGCGCCCGAGCGCTCGTGGGCAACGGGGCGACCGTCGGCACAAGGGTGCGTCGAAGAAAAATGCAAAAAGGTCCTTTAAACCGAAGTTTGACGTTGTTTTAAATACCAGAGATTCTCCGAGGTAAATATCAACCATCGAAACAATCTGAAAAATATCAACTAAGGACACCTCTTCGACAAACACGTCACAGTTTAGCAATGTTCAACAACATGTAACGAAACCACGGCCATACACACGTCGGGAGGTCAGCAGCATTACACACGTTCATTGTAAAAGAAATCCAAACAGAGACCATGTGTATTGTTAAGCTTTGACGGGATTAACAAATCAAAACAATATTCAGGGAAAGGACACAGGGCATTGCCAATGGCGTTTTACAAAATATGACGGCACTATTAACATCACCACATTTCCATTTTAGAAAACTAATAAGGCAAAGGCATATTCACTTATTTACCATCTTGCGCGAGTACATTTTCGGTAAGTGAAATGACGTGTGCAGTTGCGACTGCTAGTCCGATCAGAATTAGAGTCCGAGAGCAATCGCATGTGATACAGGGCAGTGCTGCTACAAGGGCTCACATCTGACCACTGGACTACACTGGTCAAGACGCTCCCCCTCCTCTTAGGAAGTCTACATTTATAAAATCAGTCAAGTCTCGTGTTATTGTTCCGACAGCGTGAGGAAACTAAAGCAATTTACACAACGCGTTCGTCTCATGTTGTGCCCGGTGCAGGAGAAACGGCAGTCCCGCGTTACGGGGCACGGCGAGGTTTAGCACGGGGCCCGTCACCAGGAGCACAACTCTCCACGAGCGCGCGTCGCCGCCGCCTCAGGAGGTGTTGGTGATGGGCTTGTACTTCTTGAGGCGCGTCCACTGGCCCGTGGCGTAGTTCATCTCAAACACGGTGTCCACCAGCATGGTGGTGCTGCCGGTGCCGTCGGCCTTGGGCAGCACCTCCGTGTGCTCGCTCAGCTTGATCTGGATGATGTCGCCCTGGTCGGGGCACGGGTTTTCTGCGCGCAAAAACACACGGGACGCCACGTGCCAGTGGTCACACACACGCGCGACCCTGCAGCGCGGACGCTAAATACATGCAATGACGATGCTTGTGAGTGTTGCCGCTGCGAGACGAGCGCGGCTGACTGGCACAAAGCTGCATTGAGAGTTGCTGCACAGAATGCAATCATTGGCAATGTTTTCACTCCGACTTGCCTGTTAAGTATTCCCCTTAATCGATGAGAACACATTTTCACTTCTTTTTGAATGAATTATCGATTATAACCCAGATTGAGCATTACCATGCACGTGACCGTGATTGCACCAAAATCTTTTCTTAATTGTGTAACAACAACAAAACACTTAAAATAATTACTTATTTTCAAGAGCATCCTGTCAAAGAAGTTTGGCCCCATACCTTGGTGACAACTTTGGTTAATTTGGGAATAGACTGGGACACTCAAAGAAAACTCACAAATACGTGGAAGAACTACGACTCCACACGATCAGTGAAGAAACTGGCTGCTGTACTGCCTTCTGAAGACACGCTTCTCTCTCTCTCTGTGCATGTTCTACCAGTGCCACCACGCCCCGCGATCATCCACTCCGAAACCCAGCACAAGCTGCACGTCTACAAATAATAAATCTTGAGCGAGGAATGCATTGGCGTGTGGATTTTGAGAGTGGGAGTGCCTGTAAGATATACTACTCTCTAGAATAGTGGTTTTTAACCATTACTGCAGCCTTGTACCCCTTTTGTTTTCAATCGTAAAAAAAAATGCACAATGTAAATAAATACATAGGTTTGATGAAACTAAGTAGTTGTACTTACGTGCCCGTGCTTAATTTGTTTCGATGATTTACCTTCTAAAAAAATCTTCCCATGTCCCGCACCCCCAGAAAAGGTCATCTCGCACTCCCAGGGGGTGCGTGCACCCCAGGTTAAAAACCACTGCTCTAGAGTAAGCCGGAGGTCCTAGAGAGCTGGGCTGACATTAAATGTGGCCTCCAAAAGGATGGAAGTTGCAATGTAGCGGCATGGAACCACGCATTGGTCATTGCGTCAAAAGTTTTGGTTATATTATAATATATTATCACTACAAAAGCTCTACCTCTGATAAGCAGTTGGCTATGTCTGGTGCGAAAGTTCAACATCAATACATTCACACTCGGCGTGAACCCAGGCAGGAGCACCACTCACCTCTGGATCCGGCCATGAATCCCAAGATCAAGGCCTTCTCTGGCCTTGTAACTTTGTTTGCAGTTTTAAACATCTCTTGCGCAGCATACATCTGTTCTCTCTGTAGCATAACACCAACAAAGACAGAGAATGAATACAAAACATGCAGAAGTATTCAGCATGTATACGACAGGAAAGAAAATATTGAGAACCTAGCCCAGGGGTCGGCAACCAAAATAACAAGAAGAGCCATTTCTTTCCAATTCGGTACAAAATTCAGTATTTCAAGAGCCGCAATGCATCTGAGTACATACTGTACATACGTACATATCGTCAAGAAGCAGCCCGTAAAGAGCCGCATGCGGCTCCGGAGCCGTAGGTTGCCGACCCCTGACCTAGCCGTACACATTTTTCAGCGATACCCCTAATCAGTCCCTCCGATACAGTGAGAAGCGTTTGACTCCAGTCGCACGGCCCCTGAAGCTTCGGGACAAGGAGAAGTGTTGGGCTGCCCTGCATGGCTCCAATCTGCTTTTCGGCAGTGGTGCAAACAAAGCCATGAGTAGAAAAGCTTGGCTACCTGGGGCCAGCGATCAACTTACATTAGTGTGATCACCGTGCAGGCTGGTGGCACCGACTCGCGACTACATTTATTTTTAAACGTTCGCGTACCAGTGACTGCGGGATTTATTGTGAAAGTAATTTCTGTGGTTTGTGAGCATGAATGGCGTGGAGGCTCTGGGCCGGGATGGTGTGTGGCCTGCGGGTGGGGGGACACAACGCCAAGGGCCAGACACGAGAGCCAGCGGACAGCGGCTGCCCATATCACTGCCGGCTAAGATAACTACTAATCAGACATTAATTACTACCGATTTAAAAGAATGGAATAAATCTACCAATTGCAAATATATATCTTGTCCATTTTAATATTGTGATGGTTGTCTAAGAGTGTTTCGGAACACACCGATGTTGAGATGGGTCATCTACAAAGTCGCAGCCATAACCCCCGATTGTTATTCCTTGCTGAATGGGCGTGCCCACTAGGCCTGGGCATCTGCGTTTTACAACTATAAGTGGCGACTCCGTATCTTGCGAGTTCATCTCCGGCTATCTGGCTGAGTGTTAAGTCATCGAGGAATGCAGGAACCATAAGGCCTGGCTTTGAGACAAGTACTGAACAAAGCATAATAAATTATTCTGGGATGTTGAGGCCAAAATTCCCATTTAAACTGCACTGCGTAGCACACAAGTCGGCTTTTTGCTCTCGCAAAGCTCCGAGTGCTCTGCTCGTAAACAAAAAGACTGTGTCGCTACTCTGCAGAATGGCGTAGCCCATGAGCAGAACTGCCTACAAGTAAACGTTGTCTGATGCAATACGAGAGTTTATACATCTCACCGTCTAAAGTGTATGTTTCTATGCATGCTTTGACCCAAACCGCTCACTACTTTAAACGTGTATGATTGTTAACGCACAGGCCTCGAGGCCCTCCCCTCGCACATGTGTCGAGCTGGTAGTTGTGCACAACTCCGGCCTCCAACCCAATACACGTTAAGCCACTGATTGAGCGCACTCAAGAGCAGTTATGCTCATTGAGTTATGATGAACTGCAGCACTGCTAATGGCATACTTACTAAAGAGTGTGCCTTATTAATGTGCATGCTCATTTTATTCGGGATAAGGTGAAGGGTGCATGTTTAACGGAGTGTGACAAAGGCATTTCCGTGCGTGACACCGGGAGGAACACAGAGAGGCACTGTGATCTGGAGAGACGCACGACAGCCGTTCATCAGCACAGGTGGGGCCGTAGCGGCCAGCTGCAGCCTTACCGGGTGATTGTGGACCTCGTGTGGCTGAGATAGAGACTTAGGCATCACTTGCTTGTGCAAGTAAGATATATTCGCATTAAGAGATAGGAGATCTGGCCTTGCGGGTAGGTCTGCTATACCTAGATCACCACATCATACCTTTCAGTTAATAATCTCACTTCAGGACATGTAGGAGCCTTGCAGACTCAACTTCATACAAACTCGGACACCTAAATGTTGCCTATACGGCGTGTATGTGGAGCGTGTTATGTCGATCGAGTGGGTTTTTCTTTTATCTTCTTGTAACAAGTGGTGCTAAATATTATTGATACAATGCTTAAAACTATGAGGTTATTAAAATACCAAGATGTCTTGGATGCTGCGGTGGTCTTTTATGAGTCCATGTAGTGTCCCTCAATTGTCTTAGTCTGTATCCTGCTCGTGAGAACTTTGGGGCGAGATCTTTAATTGTGAAAATGATTAAATCTAATATGATTTAATGAAGAGCAACCTCTGCAAAACTGGTCAGATATAAATTCAAGACCGCTTTCTTCCAAAGTCGACGAGAACCACTGTACGTGCCGCCATCGATTACGATCGCCGCCCAACACTCGCCAGACCAGGGAAACGCTCTGCCCGGACTCGGGAATGCACCTCCGAGTCGGCCACTCACCGTGAGCGAGAGGTTCTTCTTAGGCTGGCTCTGCTGCGTCTGCTGCGTCTGCTGCTGCTGAGCGACGGTGGCGGCGGTGGCGGCAGGAGGCTGTGGAACGGGCACGGGCTGCTGCTGGCTAGCCGGGGCCTGCGCGAGGGTGGGGGTGGTGGGCTGCGGCGTGGTGGGGCTCGGGGAAGCGGCGGGGGCGGTCGCGGAGGAGGGCAGGGCACTGCTGTAGAGAGGCGCCTGCTGCTTGAACGGGTTCTGCACCATGGGGACGGTCGGGGAGCTGGGGGGCTCCTCGGGGGTGCGGTTCGACTGCAGGGCGTCGCGGATGGCCGCTGCCCCACTGGCGCCTGTGAGCCGCAACATACACGCCGAGCGGTGCTTCCATGCGGACCTTCACCACGATATACAGTCGGGCAGTTTCGCTATTGCTGGTATGAGCGAGCATGCAAGTTTACTGCCGCTTTTAAGTATGATTTTAAGAAGAAAATGTGTCCATTGACAATGATGGAGCAAAATGTCCAGGTTTGTGTGTTCGGGCTGTTTGGTCAAGATGTCAATCCAGCCTGAGATTATGTATAATGCTGAGGTTCACATTACATTCCACAAACAAGGATGCATTGAATTCATCTGGGTGGCAATTCACTGCAGCCATTAACAGGGTGGATAGGCCTAACGCGTGTAATTTGCATAGCATGTTTTTAATCGATAATATCTCCGATGGAACGGACCAGGGAAATCGCAACAGAAGCAATCTTTGCATGCAGCTGTGCGACAGGGTGGGGGCGGGGGGCGAGTTTCTCTCACCAGAGGGGGCGTCTGTGCTGGGGTTGTAGGACGAGGAAGGGATCATGCTGGGTGTGGCCGGCAGGTAGCTGGTGGAAGGCATCGAGCTGTCATTGCTCAGTGCTCCCAGTTTCTGCAAGACAGAGGGGCGGTAGGCGTCACCTTTCGCGCTGCTACGTTACTCAACAACAGAGGAGGCAGTTCACACACGGGCAGACGTTGCATCACACATTGCACTTGCATAAACAACCCTTTGCTTTTATTGCCATTTTAATCATTTTTTATACTCATAACCCTTCAAGTCAAGTGGCCACAGCATGCGAGTTGGGTTGTAGTTGCGAGTCGTGTATGTGGTTAGCGAGTATGGTGCGAGTGTGTATGGTGTTAGTGAGTGGGGTGTTAGTGAGTGGGGTGTTAGTGAGTGGGGTGTTAGTGAGTGGGGTGTTAGTGAGTGGGGTGTTAGTGAGTGGGGTGTTAGTGAGTGGGGTGTTAGTGAGTGGGGTGTTAGTGAGTGGGGTGTTGGTGAGTGGGGTGTTGGTGAGTGGGGTGTTAGTGAGTGGGGTGCGAGTGGTGTGGTGCGAGTGGTGCGAGTGGTGTGGTGCGAGTGGTGTGGTGCGAGTGGTGTGGTGCGAGTGGTGTGGTGCGAGTGGTGTGGTGAGAGTGGTGTGGTGAGAGTGGTGTGGTGCAAGCGAGTGGGGTGCGAGCGAGTGGGGTGCGAGCGAGTGGGGTGCGAGCGAGTGGGGTGCGAGCGAGTGGGGTGCGAGCGAGTGGGGTGCGAGCGAGTGGGGTGCGAGCGAGTGGGGTGCGAGCGAGTGGGGTGCGAGCGAGTGGGGTGCGAGCGAGTGGGGTGCGAGCGAGTGGGGTGCGAGCGAGTGGGGTGCGAGCGAGTGGGGTGCGAGCGAGTGGGGTGCGAGCGAGTGGAGTGCGAGCGAGTGGGGTGCGAGCGAGTGGGGTGTTAGTGAGTGGGGTGTGAGTGCAGTGTGAGTGGGTGAGTGGGGCGAGTGCGGTGTGAGTGGGGTGTGAATGACTGGGGTGTGAGTGGTGTGGTGCGAGTGGTGTGGTGCGAGTGGTGTGGTGCGAGTGGTGTGGTGCGAGTGGTGTGGTGCGAGTGGTGTGGTGCGAGTGGTGTGGTGCGAGTGGTGTGGTGCGAGTGGTGTGGTGCGAGTGGTGTGGTGCGAGTGGTGTGGTGCGAGCGAGTGGGGTGCGAGCGAGTGGGGTGCGAGCGAGTGGGGTGCGAGCGAGTGGGGTGCGAGCGAGTGGGGTGTGAGTGAGTGGGGTGTGAGTGCAGTGTGAGTGGGTGAGTGGGGCGAGTGCGGTGTGAGTGGGGTGTGAGTGACTGGGGTGTGAGTGAGTGGGGCGTAAGTGGTGTGCGAGTGCGGTGTGTGTGTGGCGTGAATGGGGTGTGAGTGAGTGGCGCGAGTGCGGTGTGATTGAGGTGTGAGTGACTGAGGTGTGAGTGACTGGGGAGTGAGTGCAGTGAGTGGGTGAGTGTGGTGTGAGTGGGTGAGTGCAGTGTGAGCGAGTGGCGTTTGTGTGCAATCGGGTGTGAGTGCGGTGAGCGAGAGAAGTGTGAGTACGGTGTGAGTGGAGTGAGTGAGTTGGGAGTTAGTAGGGTGTGAATGAGTGTAGTGCGAATGCGGTGTGAGCAGGGTGAGTACCGGAGTTGATACAAGTCCAGCGGCGTAGTCTGGGGTCACGGGGTTCACGGCCGCCTCATCCTTAGCCGCCTTCTCCCCCTGCTCCGCCTCTGCCAGAGCAGAATCACAACGCACAAGCCGGCGCGCACATCGTATTCAGTGTGCCGGGGTAGGATACGCGACGATAATGGACGGCCGAAGGTCAAGCACGAAGCTTGACCACTGTGGAGATATTTCAACGAAATCAGTTAATGTTAGGGAGTGAAACGAATTGTCATCATGGGATGGCGAGAGTTTGTGACGGCGTGCGGGAAAGCCATCGTCCGGCGGTGGACAAACGTTCCCGAGAGGAGCAGGGGCCACGAGGAGACCCAGCACTGGGAATACCGACCTGGGGCCTTTTTCCTCCGCTTGGCCTCGCGGCCAGCTCCCACCGCGTCCAGCTCCGAAATGTCCAACAGCTGCACACGGGCACGCACGAAGTCACGAGCAGACGTGGGCACGAGCACTCAGATGGGAATGTACATGGGCACAAAAAAAGATCCCATATATAACATTTAACAAACTGTTAGGGCAAGTTCTGATAGGAAGGACATATTGTTGTACAAGTACCTTTTCCTAAAAACTTATATTAAGAGTGCTTCTGCCTATTTTTTATGTCATAGTTTTTTTAGATCTGGATTTAGCGCTGTGGCACAAACACGTGGTGAATCCCCCCCCCCCCTGCCTCGACCACACAAAAGACACCTGGGAGGTTAATACTTCACTAGCTGGCTTAAGAAAGTCAGTAAAATGTTATATAAAACAGCAAGCCCAATGGGGGCTAATGAAATTACCGGGGAAACCCCGAAATTGGCTTCTCAGAGGAAGCAGCAATAAAAGAACACGAAATAAAGAAAATGACACACAAAGACAGAACCCCACAGGGGACCAGGGGCCTTCCACCAGACAGCAACATCCACCAAAGGGAGGTTAATCATTACAAGCTGGCTGGGGAAAGTTTAAAAGTTCAGCAGTAGAGTTACAAGCTTAGCTATATCTTCAACATCAGGATATATATCAAAACATAACGTGAGAATAAGAAGCACGGATTCTTGGCGATAAAGATGGGGAACTGATGTATTTTCGGTACAAGGAAAAACGCTGGACGACGGCTCGTCGCCATCTGGACCCCAGAACCACAGTTAGCAGAGATAGTACGTGGACAACTCAAACCATACTCCCCGCTACAATAATATTATTGGACCTCGTGGTGACTGCCCTCCCACACACACACACACAACGCGCATATCAGTACCAATAAGATGTTTCCACGGGGTTTTTGATCCGAAAAGGGTTGCCATTCCAAAGTGGTGAATTAATTACACTGTGTAACAATTTGTTTTGTTCCTGGGTAGCAAGTGTTATTTTCTATTTGCTTGTGCCTCAAAAGTACAAAAAACGGCTATTATTATTTCCCACAAACTTTGCTTTTGTGACCAGAACAGTGATATTATAAAATTTACCTATTTTCCAGAACATTCCAGATAGATTCAGTGCTAAGTAAACTTGGAGTAACTTCTAGAACATTCTAGAACTTTCCAGTAATATAAATAGTAGTATAAATACAGGGACCTTAAAAGCCCACCAGTTCAGTTTAGGTTTAGCTGCCTAAGTGGATACATATCTGCATTTTTCTGGGATGACATCAAGAGGCTGCAAGCATCCGGCAGATACATTTTTGCTTGGTCTGTGGCTAATTCATCAAGACAAGAGCGAAAAAGTACTCTGTGGAAGCATTTGCTAAGATGTGCGAGGCCTATTTCGGCATGCCTGTCGGGGATCAAGACAAACCCTGGGCACCTCATTTCACCTGCGAGCAACGCAAAAAAACTCTGGAAGGTAAGATGGACAATTGTTGCTCAGAATTTTATGTTATAAAATTTGTTACAATTTTTTTTATTGGAAAAGTTTTTCATTTTTAAATGTTTTACAATTTTCAATGTCATTGAAAAAATATATATCATACATGAAAAATGTTGCGAGAATCTCTTACATATTAGTCATGGGTGAAATAACTATATTTTTGTAGGATGGTACAGAGGGGAAAAGAGAGCCATAAAGTTCACTATCCTAAGAATTTGGCGGGAACCCACTGACCACGAAAGCAACTGCTACTTCTGCATGGTGGACCCTTCCAAACGTCAGACTGGCAAGAATGCACCTGCTATCACGTATCCGGACCTTCCTTCATCCATCGCCCCGGTGCCACACTGCCATGAGCTCCCCGTACCCACTCCTCCGGAGAGAGAGCAGCAAGTCAGAGAGGGAAGAAGACGTTGTAGATCCAGATGACAATTTCAGAGGTGGAGCTGAGGAGAGAAACCCATACTACCTCAACCAAAAAGACCTCAACGACTTGATCAGAGATCTTGGTCTCACCAAGTCCAATGCTGACCTTTTGACATCTAGGCTCAAGCAGTGGAACTTGTTGGATGAAAGTGTGCAAGTTGCAGATCAGAGGAAGCGTCACCAATCTTTTTGCAGCTTCTTCACCTGTCAAGATGGGCTCTGCTTCTGCCACAATGTGACCAATCTGTTCGAGGCAATCTGAATCACCTGTAACCAGAATGAGTGGCGCCTCTTCATTGACAGCTCATCCAGGAGCCTCAAAGCCATGCTGCTCCATAATGGTCACAAGTAGCCATCTCTTCCCCTGGCTCACTCGGTGCACCTCAAAGAGGATTAACAACAGCATCAAGACCTTGCAGGACGCCTTGAAGTATGACGAGTACGGCTGGGAGGTCATCGGAAACTTCAAAATGTTGGCATTCCTGATGGGTCTCCAAGGCGATTTTACCAAGTTTCCCTGCTATCTTTGCCTTTGGGACAGCAGGGACACCAAGGCGCACTACCACAGGCGGGACTGGCCACAGCGGACAGAGTTCTCTGTGGGGAGGTACAACGTCAAGTGGGAGCCACTGGTGGACCCCCGGAAGGTGCTGATGCCACCACTGCACATCAAATTGGGCCTGATGAAACAATTTGTCAGAGCTGTAGATAAGGAGTCGGCAGCCTTCAAGTACCTTCAAGACTTCTTCCCGAAGATGTCTGAGGCAAAGGTCAAAGCCGGTGTCTTCGTCAGACCACAGATAAAGAAGATCCTAGAGTGCAATGAATTCTCCAAGAAGCTCAATAGTAAGGAGCATGCGGCTTGGAACAGCTTTGTCGCAGTGGTTCGTGGCTTCCCGTGCAATCACAAGGTCGAAAACTATGTGGAGCTGGTTGAGACTCTGGTGTAGAATTACGGCATAATGGGCTGTAGGATGTCCCTCAAAGTCCATATCCTTGATGCTCATCTTGATAAATTCAAGGAGAACATGGGAGCGTACTCAGAGGAGCAAGGGTGAGCGCTTCCACCAGGATATACAGGTAGTCCCCGAGTTACGATGGTCCAACTTACGATATTTCGATCTTACGATGGCGATACGACAAAATTGCCATCAGCAACCTAACATTGTTCAAGTATGCAGACGACGGACAGAATCTTGGTGAGTACAGTCCAATATGATACGTTACGATGCGTTCAATGCATGTATGATACGTAGCTTTAGCGATTTCGTTTTAAGGTTACCATGATACAATACGTTCAATGCATGTTAAAAGTTTTTATAGCAGATAGGATTGTTTCCTGAAAAAACTTTCTATTAAATTGCAGTTCATGTAGGTAGGCTAAGAATTTACCTTGGTTTTTTAACTTTACACTTTACTGTGCAATACAGTATTGTAATTAATTAATACATAAAGTATATAGTTTATACAGTACGGTACTGAAAATTGCTCTGTTTTGCTAAATTATCACCATTCTTTAAGACTCCTGGGTAGGCGAAGCCATCTTCGACTTACGATATTTTCGACTTACGATGGGGTCGTCGTAACGCATCTCCATCTTAAGTAGAGGACTACCTGTACTGGACTTTGAACGCCGCTACCAAGGACAGTATAACGTGAACATGATAGGAGACTAAATTTGGGGGATGATTCGTTAAAGTGATTTACAGTATAATCATAAATCTCGAAAAACTACTCACTTCTAAATCTTTTGGAGTCATTTTTGTATTACTTTAGGATAAATACATGTTAATTTTGATTCATGTTTTTTTTCTGACTTTATGTGAACGAAGATACAAATTCGCCTGTTTTCTCATTGAAAATAGGGAAATTTCAAAACATCACTCTCCTGGTCACAACAGGAAAGTTTGTGGGGAATAAGACATTTTCTATACATTTTAGGCATATGCAATTACGAAAGAACACTTACCACCCAGGAACAAAAATTGTGTTAGTGTTGTTCTGCAGCATTGTTCTGTCCCTAAAGTTGCATGAATACGGTCGTTTAGAAGTATTTTAGTCATTCGTTTTCTTTTCATCACATAATCTTACCAATGAATTCACACTAAACATTTATAAGCATCTACGTCACGAATCTCCACTCATATGAATATTATTGTTTTGAGATTTCTTGTAATTGCATCATCTTACCAATGAATTCATTGATGTCCCACTAGCCATTTGATAAGCATCTATTAGCCAAACCTACACACTCGCATGTACACGATTGCTTCGGATATTTCTTTAATTGCATAATCTTACCAATGAATTGATGTCACACTAAACATGTATAAGCATATATGCTACGAATCTACACACTCGCATGAACACTATTGTTTTTAAATATTTATTTTAATCATCTAATCTTACCAATGAATTCATTGATGCCCCCTTTTGCCTTTGGACACATGTTTCTTTAGCACGGTTCAGTATGAAGTCATTTTTAAGGACTTTCCTATCGTCGTGTATTGTCGCGCTACTATGAGGAGTTAGCCGATTGTTCTATTGCTCAGTTTAACAACATAACCATTGAGGTTTAATTGGACGCATCGACGAGTATGATATCTGCAAGAGCACTGTTGTGGCAATTCCGATCATAAGTGTGTTCGCATATTAGAGTGTTGATAGATATTAAAGTTGCTTCACACAGAAGAGCCCGAGTGGTTCCTTCCCAAGTTCATGCATAATTATATTAATTATAAGAACTGTATCCTGCAGCGAGATCCGAATCCTGAGACCTGACAATTCCACTAAAATCATAACCAGAAAATGTTTAAGCGAGAATCATAATCAGTAAAAGTTAAAGCTAGAATCATTGTATTATCATGATTGGTAATACACCTCGACACAACGAAGCTAAGCATCACACACACACACCGTCACACACATAAGATACACCCCTAGACAATGAAGCCGAGCATCACATCACACACACATCAATCACAAATAACCACACACAAGATACACCCCCTAGACAGCGAAGCAAAGCCAATGATAATACACGTAACTACACGCACACCTATCGATCATAATACAAACTAACACACACACATTCATAATACTCCTATATACACACACATCGACCATATACATACATTTTCACGTAATATTTTACACACATATGATTGATCACATTACACTTGCACTCAATAAACATCAATTAACATGAAACACGTTAAATTATTTGATACATTTTTTATCATTTGCATAATTTCATAAATTCCCACAGTTTTCATTTATTTTATTCTTTTTCACAACACAGTATATACAACACTATGAATGCCTGTATGGCACACGAGGGGAGGCCCGGGACCAGTTCAAATATTGGACTCTGTTATTGGTCGTGAGCAGACATTTAACTGTTCACCGGATTTGTAGCGCAGTGCGCTAATCACTAAACAAACACTCCCCACACAGCCACACACATGAGCACTCACACGGGCAAGTACATGCGGACATGCAGGGCAGATGCTGCACATGGCACCCCTCTACACATTCACATAGAACCATTCATGTTCACAGGTTCAGGTCACCACTCGGCACAGTTCGAGATTTCCCAAAAACTTCAGAACATTCCTCATTAATCAGCAGCAAGTCACACGATTTGTACATCGACACCGACAATGGACCCGCAATGTTACAAAACCAAATATTCCCGTGTTGTGTTTGGTATCCCACGCCGTTATCCCAGGGTGAAATATCATGGGGCCTCTCCGGGGCGCACGCTATCGCGTTTCGTGCTGCACGGTGCAGCCACCGTGGTAAAGCAGCGAGGGCAGTGTTCGCGGCGATCGTGGAGCCGGGCCGCCGGGCCTCACCTTGACCCCGCGTTCCTTGCGGAGTGGCGTGCGCGCCGAAAGGGGCGTGCGTGTGCCGGGGGAGCCGAAGCCGGGGGAGGCGCTGGGGCTGCGGAACGGCGCCTGCTTGGGAATTCCTTTCAGTGGCGCTGCACAACAACCACCACCACGCGGTCAGGTGTGAACCACAACCACCACCACAAACTGTCAGGTGTGAGCAACAACCAGCACCACCACCACCACCACACGGTCAGGTGTGAACCACAACCACCACCACACATGGTCAGGTGTGAGCAACAACCACCACCACAAACTGTCAGGTGTGAGCAACAACCAGCACCACCACCACGCGGTCAGGTGTGAACCACAACCACCACCACACATGGTCAGGTGTGAGCAACAACTAGCACCACCACCACACGGGTCAGGTGTGAACCACGACCACCACCACAAACTGTCAGGTATGAATAATGACCACCACACATCACGTAGAATTAGTTCAGCAAAGAGGGAGTGGATGATAATTTCCGACCCAGGAACACAAACCTATTTTTCCCACGAGGTCTATTATTTTCCAAACGCAATTTTGCCCAACACGGCATTTTCTAGGAACATAACCCCCACATCCGGCGAGATATTACCGTATATGTTTACCTTTGGCATGTGGTTACATGTAGACGCTTGACTAATCAATTGCCATATTTGAATACAAAAATTATTCACCTGGATAATTGCAAGGGTGTCCAGGGACTTCATTCACTTGTTGGTGAAAGCAAATGTTTTCGAATTCATGGGATTTATAGGAGGTTTAAATCACTAAAAACTGCCCAAGAAAATTCCGGGCTGGCTTGCGAACGTCGTTAATGTAAACGTTAACACCAAACTTAAGATTTAACGAATGCGTCGAGGTGATGCATAGTTGAATAATGGGCGAAGCAACGACTCACTGGTGGTGTCAATCTTCTTCACAAGGCCCCTCCCTTTGGCATGGAAGGGGATTCCTGAAGTCTTCTTCAGCTGTTGTGCCGTTTCCGTAGCTGTGAAATAAACACCGTCAAACAACATTATGGCCAAATCGACAACAGCTCATCTTTACATCGACTCATCCATTAACAATGATTATTAAGCTCATGATATGTAGATTGAATCGCGTATGTGGGAATCAATGTTTCTTAAAAGGAATGTGTTGTATGAATTGGGATAACATCAACTATTTTTATTTTACCAGGTAAGGCCCACCGAGCTATATAGCTCTTTTTCAGAAGTGGCCTGGCCACAAATAATAGCTCAACGAAGTCGCCGATCATGTGGACATTTATAGTCGCAGCCAAACACTCTAAATGCACGTTTCTAAACGCGAGGGGAAAAGCGGAGGACCCAGTGAACAATCCAGGCAACCGCGGGGAGAACATGCAAACTCCAAATATACAGGCATCAGGGTTGGGATCAAACTCACGACCTCCTGTATACCAGGCAAGGTAGTTACCATATCAATATCTTGAACAGACCACACAACTTGAATCGTCACAATTTGTCGGCTCGCCAGGTGTAGTCAACTCTTACACCTCGATTTTACACCAACTGATGCAACTCTCTTAATAAGCAAAACCGAATAAAAGTATAAGAACGCAACAGAGCATGAGATGTAGCAATGTAAAAAATTATTTCATAAAAAAAGGTTCCCAAAACTTTAAAATCAGTTTGTTATCTTTAAAATCCAATTCATGTTTAAATTTTATATTTACTATACAATTCAGCCATCAAGAATGCCATAAAAAAACACCAGTAACAAATTTAAAGCTGTTGTATCCTAACCCTTCTTCCAAAACTGAGATTAATCATATTTGATGAGATTTTTATATATTATCTTTTTACTTGTTTTTTTTAATGAGTGAAACACACCAAAGCGCACCAAACTGCAAACACCAGGTGTTGTTAAGTAATGAACTGGAGGAGGGCTAGGATGGCAGAATTTGCAACCTTGCTTCAAGGAAAGATAAGGCCTGATGAACGGGCACATGTCACCCGTGCAGGCGGCAGAGACAGTGGGAGTGTCAGCCAGACATAGTTAAGGCAAAAAGCCCAACCATCCTGCATGGTTTTAAAGTAACGTCAAAATTCGAAATTCAACAACAGAGTAGGCTAAATTATCGATCCTCGCGCTCGCTCAAATTGGAGACCAGGCTGCGAGCTACATCAATGAACCATTGCCATTTGCTAATCCAATACTGAATGTTAATATTACTGAAGTCAAAACGAATTCTATGACCTCAGCACATGGGCAAATAATAGGGCAGTGTCGACTCAAAGGCAATGGAAGAAACAGAGGCGCCTTTGTCTACATCACAACCACAGAAAGCCAGGAATCATCACTGATTGTGTGTTCAGGGATTCCGAGCTAGTTAGAACATGCAGCTGAGGAAACAAAGATAAAGATAAGTGGGTCAGCTCAAGGCTGTGTGCACAGGGGGGGAGCTGATGTAAACAACCCTGCGCGTCTGAACGTGAGGGGGCCTTGGACCTGAAATTAAGAATAACACTCCCAGAGCAGAAGGTTGGACAGGGGAGAGAGCTGATTTAAAAGAGTGTTGTATATCTCTCAAGGCGGGCAAGACCCAGCTGAATAACAAGTCTGCGGGGGTCACCAGAAGTTCGCATTCGCCTAGTTAAGACAAAAAGCTCAATTATTCTGTATTGCTATTAAAGTAACGTTAAAGTCGGAATTTAACAACAGGGTAGGCTAAAGTTATTGATATTCACACCCACTCCAATTAAACCAGGCCACAAGTTACGCCTACTGAACCATCACCATTATTAAGTCAATATGAAATGTTATTTCCATACTTTAATACTTTCTATACAACTCGACCCGAAGCATATGACAATCAGAACCTTCCTAAGTCAAAATTGAATCGCACCCAGACAGGAGCGAATAGTCGATATAAGGTTGACGAGGGAAGGAAATTAAGAGCACGGCGAACTGCAAACGTAAGCAAAAAGCCGGGAACAACACCAGCCCAGCAACAGCGAGTGGGGCTTCGACAGGCCATAAAGTAGAATAATAACTCCCGGGGTCAGGGGACACAAGAAGAAGCAGGCAGACAAAAACCAGAACTGACTCCAAGGTTCAACCGCCCTCACCTACTCAGGAGTGACAGAAATTAATGAGGCCTTGAATTAACGGCAGCTGGACGGCAACAACAACGGCGAGCAGAGATAGGGTGGGGCAAAGACTGCGGGGCTATGAAATGCAACTTCGTGTCAGTAAAGCTCTGACAAACAAGTTAAGTTAAAGACATCACAATACATAATATCGCACATAACATCAATGTTAACGCTATTCACCGTAAACTATATTCCGCTTATATAACCATGCAGGCACCAAGGAATACGAATTCCTAGGATCAAGAAACTTACCCCTTAACCTAAGATATCGGAAATAAAGTAATAGTAATAAGCATATGCATGAAAAGACAAAGTAAAACTTATGGAAAAGCCAGGATAACGGGATGAATCACCACCAGGTCGAATATGAATACATAATAAAAAAAACGATGTTAAACCCAGGGTCGGAGAGAAAGGGAGATCCCGGCCGTCTTTGTATCCCCGCAGCGCGGGATAGGAGTGTGTATACGCTCGGGGAAACACCTCCACTTGAGTCAAGCACCACGATGGGAAACGACAGACCTTAGGTTACATACAGAATCATAACTGTGAAATAGTAAGGGACAAATGTTAACTTAAAACTTTTTAACCATTTCTTTGTGCGCCGGGTCGGAGAGGGTGTTGCCCCTCCCTCCAGGTTGTGCAACACGAACAAAGACGCCTATGAGACGATTTGTAACGTCTGTGTTTTGGGTTCATGAAGAAGGCCAGACAAGAGATAATATTGCACCCAGACAGAGAGACGACTTCGAGGCAATTTGTAACATCTGATTGTTTGCTCGTGGGTTTTATGGAGGGAGTGTGACAACGGAATATACCGTGAGTGATGCACACAAGGACACACGGACGTACGGACACACACATGGACACACCTGCCTACGGACAGATCCTGACACAGCAAAAATCGGAAGAAGCCCCGCCTTGTGGGCGGGATCCAGGGGGATTTTTCGGCATAAAGGAACGGATCCTGAGCATTGGAAACGAGTGCGACGGGAGGGTCGACTCAGGAGCGAGTGCGACCAGCGGGTCCACTCAGGAGTGCGACCAGTGGGTTGGCTCAGGAACGAGTGCGACCAGAGGGTCGACTCAGGAGTGCGACCAGAGGGTCGACTCAGGAGTGCGACCAGAGGGTCGACTCAGGAGTGCGACCAGCGGGTCGACTCAGGAGTGCGACCAGCGGGTCGACTCAGGAGCTCGACCGGGAGGGTCGGCTCAGGAGCGAGCTGCGACCAGCGGGTCGGCTCGACTCATCTTCAGCTCGTCAACCTCTGCCGAATCGGAGGTCTCTGCTGCCACCGGAGTGGTGAGCATCGCGGTTCGGCGACAACCCAGAGCTGCACGCTACGAGCGAGTTGTGGGCGCCACCTACCGACCGGGTTCCGAACTGCGACAGCGTATCAACAGCCATCCGACAGGGGAGCGACTGATACGTATGACGCGCACCGCCCCCTCACCACACGACCACCAGGCGTCTGTTTGACATAAAGAATCGACTCCGAACACTGACTATTCAAGACAACTCTTACCACTCAAACACACTCGAACCCATAAGCCATCCGTGGCTGGGAAGGCATCACAACGAGACCGAGTGATGGCCATCCGTCGTTTATAAGAGTATTCGTAATTTTTATCTTTAATATTTAGTGGGCTGTACTCTTAATCGCATAAATTCCCAACAGATCCATCAATACGAACTGATTCTTGGCACCTCCTTCCGCCGAGCCACGCTCACGTGGGGAGTGGTGGCCCACCGGATCCTTATCAGGTGATCTGGTCCCCAATTAGTAAACTTGGTATAAGATAACGATCTTCGGAAAAGGAGCACCGTCGCAGGCCCTTACTCCGAGCCGTTCTGTTGTCAGATAACCTGCCGATGTATCTGTTGAGATTGGTGCCTTTAAGAATAATAACTGTTTTTGATTGTGTTTTTTTTATCGCCGTATAATCTTTCAAGTATCTTTCAGTCATAATCGCCGCACGTACTCGCATCCTCTACAAAATATTCAACTGTCCCGTGACCCAAGGTGCTAACAACGTGATAAGGGTTGCGTATGATCAATAAGGAGTGCGGTACTGCGTGAACAATATTGAGTATAATCATTCATTAACGTTAAGGTTTTCTTAGCATAGTATTTGCATGTTTTACTGTATGATGCCGTGTTGACGTTCCGGGATTGAGAGTTCGCATACTATATCATAGTTAAGGTTGAATTAGTAATAAATTGATCAATACAGAAGTGGTTGTGTGATTCTTTCCTGAAATCTATGCATAAGATCTGCTTCTGCGTTGAGATCTGAACTTGGTGACCTTAATAAACACACTAATACATACTCAGTAAATGTTAAAGCGATAACGGGGTGAACCGGGGACCTAAAATATAACCACGAATACACACTCTGGGAATGTTAAAGCGAGAATGAGACGAACCTAGACAACGATGCCGAGTTAATCTAAGTTAATCTTGCATACTTACACCACACCTGCATAACTGCATACGATTAATTGCCTTATTCCGATCGATAACCCACCCTCGTCACCGAGGCGGGGTCTGGTTATCATAACGACTTGCATTATGATAATTACACCCACTCGCACAATTAATACGATTACCTCTCGAATTGGCATAATTAAAATGTGCATAATTACATAAATTAACATATTTCCGGATAATTACACATTTGGCCAAATTTCATTTAATTATTATTATTTTCACTGAATATTCATAACCCACATATACAACATAATAATTTCACCCACGCACGCATACAACATAACAAATTTTGATAACCAACATATACAACAAAGCAAACAAACATCCAACTACTCCTACTTTAGCTGTCAATATAATACTGACACAGCCATTCAGAATGATATAATGCAAGTTTAACACACGTAGGCTTTCGCGACCAATATCATCCATAAGAGGTTTTTTGGGTTAGATCGCGTAAATATATAAATGTGTCGTTAAAACCCATCACCCGATGAAGCGAGTTGTAATTACTGGCGAAACGTCGTACTCAGATTGTAAATTTAGAGCCTGAGCCTACCTAGGGGAGGCCCAGGACTGGTTAAAATAACCGTCACTGGTGTTGGCCATGAGCAGGAATCACTCCCAAGCGCTGCAGCACACAGAGGGTGGATGCACCGCACATCACCATCGGGGCTCACATTTCTGCAGGAGCTCTGCCCTCAGCGTGGCACTCTTGGGCTTGCGGCGCAGCTGGAAGTGCTTGGCGGGAGGTGCGAGCGGCCCCACCAGCGTGGTGAGCGCGCTCTTGTTGAGGAACTGGCACTCGAGGGGCAGCATCGTGGAGGCGTCGCAGTCCACCACTGCGGCACAGCAGAGGCGCGCGGCACTGTTAAAGCCAAGCTCACCCTCGCGCCCGCAGCTCCTTGCCGTCGCCAAAGTAGCGGCGGCCAGAATGGGGTCGTGTAGAGGAAGTCTCTGCACTGCCTTCACAGGGAACAGAGCTGAGGGAGCTGCGACGTGCGTATAAAGGAAACCCTCGATGTCATTACAGCATCTGGCAATTTGAAATCTGGAATTCAACAGTACGCTCGTAATGGATGCACTATGCATAGCGACACTCTAATGGCAACACTTCGGCAACACTTCGGCAGCGCCGTGTCATGTTCAGTCAAGGGCTGGTGCAGCTCCCATTAGAAATTTAAGTTTAATTGATTGAAATGTTGTTTCATTGTTTCCATGTGTTTGCAAGCCAGGTTTGGAATGTAAAGCAGGACATTTTGGAATTCTGAAGACTGTACGAGTGCTCAAATTATCCAAGCATTAAAAGATTCAGAGCCAAATAAATACCTGATGTCACGATTATTCGCAAGTCATTGTAACTTTCTGACCTGCCCCTACTGGAAATTTGTGAAAAAGGGATTCATGGTTCGTTAAATTTCTCCAGGATAAATAAAGATTCTGATTGTGAGTGATATATGCATATGAAGAATGGAAGCCCTGTTATGTTCATACAAGAGGTCTGCTGGATCTGGGCAAGGCCGGAAAGGAATCTCAACGAAAAAGTTATTAAAGTTATATAAGCTGCCCTGCCATTAGAGTACCAGGCACATGTAATGCATCCAAAAAAGGAGTCAATGCATTTCGATGAATGCAGTACTAGAAAACGTATCTGCCACTTAATTTTCAAGAAACCATTCCACCACTCCACAAAAAGTTGGTGAAACGGTGGCATCTGATGTCGCTCGAATGAGGTTCTGCAGGTTTTCCATCATTCCTCTCGTAACGCACCATGTGCAGTGCGATGCCTCTGCATCAGACAAACCTTTCTCTTTGAGGTCCCCCAGGACACTCTGCGCGTTGGAATTCTGCTCCTCCAGCTCGAGGTTGAGCGTTCCAGAATCCGGGAATGTCCTCACGACATCGGCGATCATCTGAACCCACAGGTCCGGGTCGCTCCGGGCCAGCGTCAGAATGATTCCCAGGGCACTCTTCATCTACAAGGTTTCAACAGTGGTGTTAAAGGCTTCACGTGTAAGAATCACATTACCTCTGCCAGACCTTGCAATGTGGGAAATTCCAAATGACACAAACGCTCACATTGGTCAACATTTGCATCTTACAAAGTTCACAAGTACCATGATATATTAACAAGTATGAACAATAGACACAATTAGCTTAAAGTACCAATATAATATTAATGAATATATACATTTTACAATGAAAATGTGCATTTTATTTTCCATAAAGTGCAACCAGGGCAGGAAAAAATATCGAGAGGGTAATGCACCGACTTTCCACAGCTGAGAAGAGTTTATATCCTACAGCTCATAGCACATCGTGAGGTTGACCCACATCCAAAACATCTTCTGGTCCCATATTTTAATCTGCTTTCATTCACCATTGTCTGGCAAAAAAACATCTCCAAGCATGCGTACAAGCTCGTGAAAAAAGCATCAAGTGTGCAGCCTGTGTACGGAGCACAAGGGAGAGCAGCACAAGGGGGCATTCCGGTTGGTGCTCGATTGATGTGGTTGAGGTGTGCTGCACTCTACAGCGCTGCTCGGCCATTGCAGATCCTGTTATCCGTGTTTACCCACACATCTATTTCTCTTGGTAAGGTGTGGATAAACGTAACGAAGTTACAACCACTTACAAATCACCGCTCATAAACATTCCCCCGAATTTAATTTCATAATTCACGGCTCACTGCGGTACCCAGGCAAATGGATAGTTTAACTGACCCATTCACAAGAGCAATCATCGGGGACGCCGGTCTGCCCGTCGTCACGACTGTATAGAAGACGCCTGGGTGAGTGTTTCACTGACAGTTCGCATCGCCACCCAGGTCGTGCATTCACTATTACCATGTAGCTCGTACCACACACAATACAGAATATGCACTCGAAATGGCACTGCAGTGTGCAACAAGCTATTCCCCTGTAGTTTGTGTGCAAGTCATCATCATCATCAGAGCTCCTATATGATGATGACGATTGCAGCATTTTTGCAAACTTAGAAGAAGCTCTACAGGATCTGCTCAATCACTTTTCAGAGCATCCAAGCAATATGGTCTCACCAACAGCATCCTGAACTTGATCCAATCATACCAAAACCAGCCTTACTACAGTCGACCTCACACCACTGTTCATGGCAGCAAAATCAAGGTGGTAGACAAGTCACCCCGTCTTGGCAGCACCCTTTACAGGTCACGAGGAGGCAATGACAAGACTTACTCCACATTTACAAAGCTCATCCTTGGAACGTTGAAAAAAGAGAGGCTGGAATGAGTGAGTGTTGGTTTCTCAGGGAATATTGTGGTGTACAGAGTTGTTAAGCTTATTACTTTACGCTGCAGTCCTGGACTATATACAGCGACAATATCAGACAGCCTGAACAAGTACACCAGCACCGACAGCACCAAACACTGGGTACACACTGGCAGGATCATTTACCAAACACAGAAGTTCTACCATACAGCGGTCCACCCAGCAATGAGACACGTGTATGAAGTCGGACAGGCATGCCAAGATACGGGACTTCAGGATCTTCAAGCAGGTCTTGCACAGCCAATAGTGACTGGCGGCCAACATCAGCAGCAACAAGGCACCCCAAGTCCACCATCAGAGCACGTCAGATGAACATCTGTTGGCAGAGGTCATTTATGCAGCTTGTTGAGGCGGACTGCCAAAAGCAAAGCTGGAAGCTGAGTGCAACACCTCGCACTGCAAATCGCTAGAATAAACCGACACTCAAGACTCGATGAGACCTCATAGTGTGATGAAGCATCTGTCAGCATTGACTGATGGATGGGCATTCATTAATCCTTCGCAATGAGCTTTAGGGAAGTGTACAATCGGCTATTAATTCTTCTCTTGTAGGGCTGGGCGATGTCGATGTTGGATGTTGTTGAGCCAGTTGAGGGCTGTGAGAGCGATGTTGTGAATGTCAGAGATGCTGCCGGCAAATGTCCAGAGGATCCGTTATTAATATTTGTTTAGACAGCGGATGCGGTTTTTGTATAAGCTCGCACCTGATAAGTCAAATGGATAGCCTGTAGTTATGGGTGATGGTATATCTGTAATCTCAGTACTGCCACTGGACATCACATTACCATGTACTGTTTAATTGTCAAATCAGATATCGTCCAAACACTGGGCGCAAAATGATCATAATCGCTACAACCATCCCTATTACCACCACCACTTCCTAGCATGACCACTGTTATCATTACAATTCCTATCTCCATCACCATTCCCAAAACCACCACTCCCAGAATCACCACTACTATCAACCACGACCACCACTACACACTTTCTATCATCACCACCACTCCCACCAACATCACCCCCCATCATCACCACTTCCATCACTTCCTCCCATCACTATCACTTACCTAATCCTATCACCACCACTCCCATCACCACTACCTCCCCTCATTACCACTACCTCCCCTCATCACCATTACCATCACTACACCGCCACCACCACCACAACTCTCATCACCACCACTACCTCCCCTCATCACCACTACCATCACTACACCACCACCACCACCACCACAACTCTCATCACCACCACTACCTCCCCTCATCACCACTACCATCACTACACCACCACCACAACTCTCATCACCACCACTACCTCCCCTCATCACCACTACCATCACTACACCACCACCACAACTCTCATCACCACCACTACCTCCCCTCATCACCACTACCATCACTACACCACCACCACCACCACAACTCTCATCACCACCACTACCTCCCCTCATCACCACTACCATCACCACCACTACCATCACCACCACTACCATCACCACCACTACCTCCCCTCATCACCACTACCATCACCACCACTACCTCCCTAATCACCACTACACCACCACCACCACTACACCACCACCACAACTCTCATCACCACCACTACCTCCTCTCACCACCACTACCATCACTACACCGCCACCACCACAACTCTAACCATCACTACACCGCCACCACCACAACTCTAACCATCACTACACCGCCACCACCACTCTAACCATCACTACACCGCCACCACCACAACTCTAACCATCACTACACCGCCACCACCACCACTCTAACCATCACTACACCGCCACCACTCTAACCATCACTACACCACCACCACCACAACTCTAACCATCACTACACCGCCACCACCACCACTACCATCACTACACCGCCACCACCACAACTCTAACCAATGAGAGGCGAGTGCGCGCGCCCACGTGACCGCCGCGCGCCCAATGAGCGCCGCGGGCGCGCGGCCCGCGCCTTGCCTCGTCCACGGTGCGGCGCGGCAGGTGCAGCACCCCGAGCAGCAGCTTGAGCTTCACCGGCGACGAGAGCGCGTGGAAGCACTCCTGGATGTTGCGTATCACGTCCTTGGTGAGCAGCGACACGATGCTGGAGGGCGTCCACAGCTCGTCGGGCGAGCCCAGCTTGTTGTGCAGCCACAGCGAAGTGTCGCTCTCCCGCACCGACGCCATGTTGCCCCGCGAGCGCAGGCACCGCACCGGGCGCCGCGGACACCTACGTCGGCCCGAGGACCCCGCCGCGGACACCATATATAGGGCCGAGGACCCCAGGCCGGCGCCGCGGACACCTATAAGAGGGCCGAGGAGGACCCCAGGCCGGCGCCGCGGACACCTATAAGAGGGCCGAGGAGGACCCCAGGCCGGCGCCGCGGACACCTATAAGAGGGCCGAGGACCCCGTGTGGGCAGTGGACGCTGCAGCGAGGCAAAGCTGCCCCGTGTAGCCTGAGGCGGCTGTTGGGGCAAGTGCAGTTAGCGAGGAGCAGCGCGCAGTGCGGCTCGAGTTGTCGTCATCAGCCATGGCCATTCCACTGCTGGATGAGATCGCTCCGTCTCGGTGACGGACGTCGGCTCCCTCGCCTGGGGTAGAAGACGGCGTGGGTCCGACCCCGACCCTGGCGGACGCCGCCGCCGCCTGCTGCTGCTGCTGCTGCTGGACTCTATTTGGAGTTGGCGGGCCTCTCTCTCTGCCAGTGGTCAAGTGGAGACTTTTCCCTCTGCGTGCTCCGGGTTGTCCCTCCACATTTAGAATCGACAACACGCGTGTAGAGTGCTATTTGGCCGCGATACAGTTCCACGTGATAAGCCACTTCGTTGCGCTATCATTTGTGGGCAGGTCGCTTATAGAAAAGAGCATCTTAGCTCGGTAGTAAATACAAGTTTAGTTTCAGACGAATTCTATTTGGCTGCCGCTCAGTTGTGTGGGAACATCACCGCCCCTCGTGTCCGTGACGAATTGTCGTCCACGCGAAGTGTTTCGGGGTTAGATCACGTCAATAAATATACATGTGTCGTTAAACCCGCCACCACCCGACACAGCCAATGGGTAAGGTTTGTCACGCAAACAGAACGTGGCAATTCGCTACCAGTGCAGCACACCGGCTGTGTTGGAGAGTAATTTGTAAATGTCGTGGTTTACTCTTCAATACACCGCTAAGCTAAAGTAACTAACTGGCACGTTCTGTTTACTGACTGGCTGTGTCGGGTGGTGTTTCACGACACATTTATTTCGATCGCGAAAGGCGACTGCGTGTTGAAGATAAAATAACTCATTCGTAGGTGTCATAGGTGCAGCTCAGCAATAACCTGATCAAGCCCCTGCTGCGGGAAGGGCCCCCACGAGAGCGACCTCAAGTGGTGTTTGGTCTACTCATCCACATTAGCTGGAAGAGCTGGAGCCCACTGTTGACCCCACCACATGCGCCGGGAGATGGACTCGACAGAGGCGTAGCTAGGATATTTTGCGCCCGGGGATGAACTATAAAATTGGCGCCCCCCCCCCCCCCCCCCCGTTTAATCACATTTCCCTAATACATCGAATAAGGAATAACAATAAAAATTTTAATGAAACATTGTATTTAAAGAAGCAAATTTATAGAAATTATATTACATGGCTCACTCAGTCACTGTTGTAGACTGGTTGACATAGTCTACAAAAGATTATTTTTTCTTGATTTCATTGTCACAAACTGGTCAATCATGTAATCAAAATCTGTTTTTCCCAATTTTTCTCTTTCAATGCTAAGAAGAGCAAGATCGCTGAGACGATATTGTCCCATTGAAGCACGCAAATACGACAAAATAAGTTTCAATTTTCTTGGTTCTTTCGGTAAAGTCACGTAGAAGGGAAGTAATAAAATAATAAAAAATGAAACATAATAAAACAATTCATTCAGACGCTGTCGCCTCGACAGACCTGGTTTTCACCCGAGGACGGCTGCTTGCGTTGTGGCCGAAACGTCGTGAGAATTGTTTTATTATGTTTTATTATTTTATTACTTCCCTTCTACGTGACTTTACCGAAAGAACCAAGAAGATGAATCCCTGCAGTCACGAAAGCTTTAAATCGAAATTTAAGTTTCAATTTGCTGAACGACCGCTCACAGCTTGCAATTGAAACTGCTATTGTTAATACAATTTGCATTGAAATTCGCAAATTCGGAAATATGTTGTCTCCATAAAACACAATAAAACCAAGATGAACCAAAGGAGTTTCTGGTAGAACTTAATTCCGGTTACTGAGCAGCATTTTGCAATCTCCAATTTCTGTGAAAAGTTCGTGGCCATTTATGTCGGTGTCATAGAAATTTCCAAAATCTGTGCAATTTCGACGAATTGCATCGACATCTGTGTCGGATAGAATAGTTTTGACGTCCAGCAGAAATCCAAATTTTGTGTTCAGGTCTTTTAGTCGTAAAAACCGTGTTGATAAAATACGCTCTTCATAACGCGCACAATTTCTTCTTCTCCTGAAAGTCCTGCAACTCTTGCCAGTTCTCCTGGCATCTTCCGACGTCGCCTAATTATTCTGTCCACATCGATCCCCCAGGCTGTGCATCTTGTTTTGGCGTTTTCTACAGCAACTTGGCTCAAATCATCACGAAGCTTGACACATTCATGCTCCAAAGATTCAAGATCAGTTGCTGCTTCCTTGAAATTCATAGTAGGATCCTGTAAGCGCTTCTGAACACGATCATTTTTTCCAAGAATGACATTCCAGAAATGTAATAAAACTATGAAGTAAAAATTTAATACGCATGCAAGTAACTGCATCACTTCTGGTTTCAGGCGTCATAGTTACGTCCTCTGATAATTTGTCTAGCAGCCCTACTAGTTCATCCAGTCCTTCATAGATAGATAGCTTTAACAGCTTCTGATCGTGGGCACAGCTTTTTTAAACTCTTCCCAACGAATTGTTGAACGAGAGAAAAACAAATATATACGTTCAACTGTTACAAAAAATGTGAAGACAAGTGGATCCTGTTTAGCTGAGTGTACTCCTGCTAAGTTTGAGCTGTGGTTGTCACAGTTGACAAACAATGCTCTGTGATTTTTGTCACATATTCGTTGTTGAAGGCCGGATATATGCCCAGTCATCACAGCAGCATTGTCATAACATTGTGCTGCTAAATGAGGGCCACGCTATGTTGACGTGCGTGGGCTGCTCCGGCTGCTGCAGCCGTCTGGAGCGTGGTGTCACTAATAAGAACTAAAAATAGGCCGTCGTAGTTTCCGCCACCAAAAAACAGGCCAGTGACTAAGGCTGAAAGACTGCGCCTGTCTGTTGTTTGGGACGTTCTTCCATGTAAATTCTTAATAGGCGCGTGTACAAAAATGTAATTACATGACATGTAGGCTGTGTGTGGCGGGATATATAAACTTTTAGGTTGAGGTGTAATTTTGTGCAGTAGTTTCAGGCTGCCGCGCCCGCCGCAATAAGTTATAATGTAACGTTGTAAGCCTCATTTTGGCGCCCCTTTACCTTGGCGCCCGGGGACATGTGTACCCCCCTGCCCCCACCTAGCTACGCCTCTGGGACTCGACCCGGTGCCGCTGACGACGCCACCACAGGCAGCTCTCAACACAAGCGAGTGCAACACTCCCTTAGGGGCCGTCCATAAATGACGTCACGCACCTAGGGGGGGGAGGGGGTCAGACATTTGTGACAATGTGTGACGAGAGGGGGGTGAGAAATGTGACGTCACATCAAAATGCGCAACTTTAAATATAGACAACACGTTCTACTTAATTAAACACATTCCTGCGGAGGGAGCTGGTAGGACCGTTGGGTTGCTCGGTCAATGACCAGGGTCAACGGCGGCGTGGTGTATTCCGCAAATATGGCCGACTGTGAGGGCGGGCACAAGCCGGCGTGAGTAGGTTAAACGGTGCGTTTTATAAGGGCACCACGGGGTGACCAGCCCCTCCCCACCCAGCCCCCCCTCTCCCACCCCCCACCCAGCCCCACCCTCCCCACCCAGCCCCTCCCCACCCTCCCCACCCAGCCCCTCCCTGCCCTCCCCACCCAGCCCCTCCCCACCCAGCCCCTCCCCAGCCAGCCCCTCCACCCTCCCCTCCCTCCCCACCCAGCCCCTCCCTGCACGACGGACGGACG